AAATTTTCTGAAAATGTCAAGTTGTAAAAATAAATAAATAAATAGTTACCAAATTTATGAATTATGTTAAATGATTTTACCTCTTAGATGCGATTTACTAGTCGTGCTCAGGGTAGTACCAATGTTGCCGTAAATTACTAACATTTATTTTACTACTCTATCCCAGACAAGTGGTTTGGATTATGTTTTGAGACAGCCTGTGACCATATTATTTACTAATTTACCGAGCATTGTTTACAATCACTAATAATTGAAAAATGATTACCGCAGACTCTATGCCGGGTAGAAATCGTGATAATTCGAACATTTGTAGCCATTATTTCCTTTTATTTCATTGATTTTTTGGAAATCTACCTATATTTGTGAACAAATTAGCAAATTAGCCTGACTCCACATTATTAAGAAATATAATCAGTACAACTAGAAAATAATACTTACAAATGAAAATTAACGTTATGTGGCGAGGCGATACATCGGATGTTTTACTAAAAAGAATACACTTATCCATCTTGATTTTTGTACCAACATTTATGGATAGAACTCTGTACCTACGATTGTAGTTCTGTAGTCTGTATTTTTGTTCGAATTTCAAATAATCGAGACTCGCGAGTGATTCAAATTTAAAGTCTATATCGAAAAAATAATAATATTATTATGTTGTTATTTATTTGATAACAATTATTACTATCATAGTTCGTGGTCCATAGTGATAAGACAGAATCGCGGGCATTAAAATATTACATTTTACCGAAGTGCGAAATTTCGTGAACGATGCAGCTCCACGAACCGCTATTTAAGACGTAACACGGGCATTTTATTGTCTCCGTTTTATATAGCAAATTTACGATCAGCATTCAGCAGGTCACATTTAGCATCGTCAGTTCAAAAGTTAGAGTGAATCGACCTATGTTGAAACGATTAGCAAATTTACATTCTGCGTAATAAAATTTATTATTTGGGTCTGTGTACACTACGAGTAGTCGAAATAATGCTTCGCTTTTCATCTTTTCCATTTGCAAGGCGAATCTAGTAGGTGCATAGGGCATGTCGAAATGAACAGTGCCTACCTAGTCTCCAAAAGCGCCGGGAAAAACAAAAAAAAAAATATAGGAAAACGTGAATTTTTACGTAAAATCGATTTCGGTATTTCGTGTAAGTGGTGTAACTCTAAAATAAATTACTGTAAATACATGCGATTTTCACTGATTGTCTATATTGGAATTTGGAATCATAAACCATAACATTTTCAAAATATTTAGATTCATGTCGAGGTATTCATTATATGCATACGAAATTTTCTAAAAAATGTTCGCTTGGTCCAATAATTTTACAATGTAATACGCATACAACGTTCCTAGTAAGTCGTAAGTTGTTGTTGTGGGTGGAAATGAAAAAAAAAGTCTACCGTTAATCCACAATAGTTTTTTTATGAGGGTCTGAAGTTAGAATTTTGAAAAAATTCTTAAAGATCACGAAAATTTGGTCAAATTAAATTTTTATGAGCGTTTGAAATTCAAATGTTTACAACATTGGATATTCACTCGATTTCTCATTTAGCGATTTCCTTATATTGTTGTACTTTAAAAACGAATAACTGTAGATACATGAAAATTTCACTAAATATTCCTATTAGCATTTTCAATACACTGTACAATTTTGAAAATATTTTGACTTTTTTTGATTTGTTTACGGACATTTTCAGTTTTAAATTTTTTTAGTTTTTTTTTCTATATATATCAATAAAGTTTTATCTGTTGGGCCGAAAAGTGTAAAAATTACAAGGGTCCTGATATATTGTTACAATAGCAATTGAAAAATTTTAAAAATACATAGGCACAATTTTTTTTATAAGCATTTGAAGATCGAATTTTGACAACATTTATCAAAATCTCTAAAATCATTGTAATTAATAAATTATAAAATGTTCAGTTTTTATAGCTAAGGATTGCAAATTTAAAACAAAAGTTCTCATAAATAGTTCATACTGTAACCAAAAAATCTAAATAATATATGAACACAGTTATTTTTTACAGACATTTTAAATTCAAATTTGAACGAAATTGCATAATAAAAAACCTAGAATAACTATTTTAGTTATTTTGTTGTGATTGTATAATATTTTTCGTGGGTACTTGAAACTTCTAAAGTACCTATACTACTATATATTATATCTATGATAGTATCAGTGTTTGTTGTTGGTGTATAACGCGTTATAAGTACCTAATGGATATTGTGATATGATTAATTTTGAATTCATTATAGGTTAGCCTACCTATTATAGGTCAAATTTTGATTTAGTACCATAGATATGTATATAATATGTCTTATACCTAGACTGACATACCGTCTCTCCGCTCAGAATCGTTTTTCTTATAAAATGATATTAGGTACCTATATCGTTGAATTCAAATTTAATTTCATCCATTATACAGTGACCCACTTGTAACCTACTGTACAGCAGAGCGACACCCACTTGCCCACCTTTTTAGATTCTGAGTGAAACGATGAATGTATTGATTTTACAATGATGTGTGTTTTTTTATTTTTTTTTGTGTCTGTGTACACGATAAGTAGTTGAAATAATGCTTCGATTTTCGACTTCAGTATCTTGTTCGATTGGAAAGTGAATATCGTTGGTGCATTGGGGAGGTCAAATTCCCAGTACTTTTCTAAAGCGTCAAGAAAAACTAAAGAAAAATTAAGGAAAAACCGGAATTTTTACGCAAAATCGATTTTTCAGAAAATTTAATTTGGTTTTTGGTGTAACTTTAAAACAAATGACCGTAGATTCATGAAATTTTCACTGGTTGTTTATATTTGCATTTTCTATACACGATAACATTTTCAAAATATTTTGATTTATTTTGAACTGTTTAGGGACATTTTCATTTTTCATTTTTTTTTAGTTTTTTTCTAGAAATATCAATAAAATTTTATTTGTTGAGTAGAAATACTTGAAAATTTAATACAAGGTTGCTACTAAATTGTTACAAAGGCAGATGAAAAATATTAAAAATCCTTAGTCACAGTTTTTTTTTATAAGCATTTAAAGTCCAAAAATTGACAAAATATGGATAAATCACGAAAATTTGCAAATTATTTCGAGTTAAGAATTCGTAAAAATTTTTCTTTTTATATCTAAGATTTTAAAATGTGATACAAGATTCCTTATAAGATTATCTTCCTTTATCAAAAAAAAAAATGTCTATAAGAAAGTCAAATTAAATTTTTATGAGCGTTTGAAATTCAAATTTTTACTACATTGGATATTCACTCGATTTCTCTTGTAGCGATTTCCTTATTTTGTTGTAATTCAAAAACGAATAACTGTAGATACGTGAAAATTTCACTGAATGTTTATATTAGCATTTCCTATACACCACATACAATTTTGAAAATATTTTGACTCTTTTTGAGCTGTTTACGGACATTTTCATTTTTTTATTCTATAAATATCAATAAAGTTTTATCTGTTATACCAAAAATTGTAAAAATTTAATACAAGGCTCCTGATATACTGTTACAATATCAGTTGAAAAAAATTAAATTTTAATATTCAAATCAAATTTAAAATTGAATAATTATATTTTGTAGTTAAAAATTTATAAAATGTTCAACTTTTATATTTAAGGATTGAAAATTTAAAACAAGATTCCACGTAAGTATTTAATTCTGTTACCAAAAAATCTAAAAAATGCAGTAGCACAGTTTATTTTTAAAGTTATTTTAAGTTCAAATTTGGACGAAATTACATACCTATTAAAAAACCTAGAATAACTATTTTAGTTATTTTGTTGTGATTGTATAATATTATTATTACATCTTTTTTTTGTGTAAATCTCGAAAAGTACTTAACGGATTTTATTATGGTTTTCACTACTAGATCGGTCGAGTCACGGGTAAGGTTTTAAAGTATGATTTGTTTTTCTTTGTGTGTTTTGAGCGGTTCCCTGGATGATTTATATTCACAATTTTATTGGACCAGGTAGGTCCAACCCTGTGGTTTGCTCAAACAGGGATTTTAAAATTTACGATAGACATTTTTGTTTATAAATGGTTGCTATTGGTTATAGGAAAAATATTATTTAGTAGAAATTAGTATTATAATTGTATATTGGTTACTCATTGGTTGGTCGGGCTGATGAAGTATGCATAAAATCGAATTTTTGCACAATGCCTACTTGATATTTTGTCGCACGTTGTCCGCGATCCGACTTAGTCTGATTGCCTATCGGAGTGGCTGAGTTGCACTTACTGCAGCAAGGTACACCCAAAAGAAGTTGAACAATCACAAATTTCAATAGTTGACTTTTTTACGATTGACAAAGTGTGCGAGATTGGCTATATTATAATAAATTAGGAGAAATATGGCATATACATTTCGTACAAATATATTTATTAAAAATACAAATCTTTGGCGTGGACAACGTCGGACAGAACAACTAGTACCTATATAATATTATAATCTTATAGTATTATAATTTATAATACTAGTATCTATATAATCTATATACACAGACTTTATCATGAATAAACTTTTAAGTCTGTGATACGTTAATACTATTAATACCTACGTTCTATGATACAAAAATTAATTTAAAAATCAAACAGACTTTTGACTTCCATCATATTGAACACAGATACAAAAGCAATTAATTTCAATTAATCTTACTATAGCCTATAGTTACTATATATACCTATATATTATAATACCGTCATATTTCACACGTGCGTTATGTTTAGTGAAAAAATAACTCAAACTATGGTTTACTTATCTATATTTTAATTTATAATTTTTAAATTCTATAAAATAAAAACAATTTTCATTTATCTAAAAGAGTAACAAATAAAATATTTAATGCCTGTTTTTAACAACACTTTTAGTCTTCCAGAAACTAGATCTCCGAATGATTGTTTAACCGTGGTTCAACATAGTGTAACCATTGGTTATATAATGTACCTATTCTAAAATTGATCTCTGAGAAGTTAACTGTTCAAAGATGTCGTGTAACATAGAACCGCCTAAAAACGATTACGAGGAACCCACACAAGAATCTGTCATTCCGGTGGATACATGCTGCAGTGCATCTCCTGTTAAATGTCTATCCGAAACTAAAGTTCTACACAATTCGACACAATCTTTAACTCGATGTCCAGTCGATATTCGCTGCAGTAGACAAAATCTTATTACACCAGTAGCAGACTACAGTAAAGAGAAATCATGTAGTGAGTTGTATTCGAACGATTTATGTCCAGAGGTGGAGGCTAAAAAACAAAAAGAGGACTGCACTGTTGATGGTAAAGATAATATAGACGGCGATAATAATGGTAATGATATTAAAGACGACGAAACATATAAAAACATAGGTACCAAAGACCCCGAAAAACCTAAACCCCCGCCCGTTCCTGTTAAAACGATTAAAAGCATGGGGAAAAAAATCACTAAACCAAAAACGTCAAACAAATAAAACCCGGGAAATTGTAAGGACGAGATTAAGACTAAAGTGAAACCGAATAGTAAACATAACAAGCTAACTATGAACGAAAAGAAAAATATAAATAAGCGTTAAATTTAAAATTTAAAAATATAAATAAGCGTTACATTTAAGTAGGTTAAATTTAACGCTTATTTATATTTTTCTTATCTTTAATGGTTAGCTTATTATGTTTACTATTCGGTTTCACTTTAGGCTTAATCTCATCTTTAAAATTTCCCGGGTTTTGTTTGCTTGACGTTTTTGGTTTAATGATGTTTTTCCCTATGCTTTTAATCGTTTTAACAGGTACGGGCGGGGGTTTAGGTTTTTCGGGGTCTTTGGTACCTATGTTTTTATTTGTTTCGTCGTCTTTAATATCATTACAATTATTATCTCCGTCTTTATTATCTTTACCATCAACAGTGCAGTCCTCTTTTTGTTTTTCAGCCTCCACCTCTGGACATAAATCGATCGAACACCATTCACTACATGATTTCTCTTTGCTGCAGTCTGTTACTGGTGTAATTAGATTTTGTCTACTGCAGGGAATATCCACTGGAATTCGAGTCAAAGATTGTGTCGAATTGTGTAGAACTTTAGTTTCGGATGGACATTTAACTGGAGATGCACTGCAGCAGGTATCCACCGGAATGACAGGTTCTTGTGTCGTATCCTCGCAATCGTTTTTAGCCGGTTCTATGTTACACGACGACTTTGAACATTTAACTTCACAGGGATCAATTTTAGAATACATTATATAACCAATCGTTACACCATGTTGAACCACGGTCAAACAATCATTCGGAGATCTAGTTTCTGGAAGACTAAAAGTGTCGTTAAAAGCAGGCATTGTACAAGTTTTATATACTGCAGGAATGACGTTTTCCTGTGGCTGCTTCTCGCATTCGTTTTTAACCTGTTCTATTTTACACGTCGACTTTGAAGCACATATTATTCCATTTTGAGGGTTTGCTACTGCAGACATACTAGTAGTTGGTCGATCTTTGGCCGAACAATTTTTCGACGTATCATTCCGAATTGGGCATGTCTCTATAAGATGATTCAACCTCTTGATAATACAAGCAAGTTTAATATGGATTGTTTTATTAGTTTCATTCGATTTACGTCGTCCCTGAAGGTTTGATGAATACAATCTGTCAATCGCTTTGTGTTGTTTTTTGTAGGAGTAGGGTTTACGGGTCTTACTAGCATTTGATACTTTTTCGGATTTACAACAAATATTATAATCAAGTGATTCTATACTTTCCGATGATTTTTTACTGCAACATTGAATCTTGCAACATTCATATTCTTCCTCGATTTGTTCGCATACACTACATATGCTCATATCCGATTGCTTTTCAGTTAAAAATGTCGAAGTCAAAATGTTATTCTTGCGATAACGAATTCCTAGTACACTTTTAAGGAATCCAAATATACTAAGAGTATATTTTACAAGTGAACATACAAATAAAAAAATATATAAAGTGCACCTCATCTCTCTGCAAGGTTTTTTTGTTAACGGGTTAATTTTTTTAAAATATTGTAAATTTTTAAAATTATTACTACTCATTAATTTAAAAATATTTTAGATTATTATTGTATATTATTATTATCAACTTTGTTTAATTTGTTGAATTACTTTTGCATAGAAATGGTTACATAGAAACCACTTTGTTGATCTCGGTATTTAAGTGGACTGTATAGGTTCTTCTTTTTTACTGTAATAGTTTTTCAAATTGTCCGTAATTCTAAACAATTTTAAAATTATATTTTATATATTAGCATTGATTAAAATACTAGTATACACTATAGTTATCCCCTTAGTTATAATACGTTCTACTTATCTACTGCCCGATACCTATTAAATAGGTTGTGTTGATACAGTGTATTATATTATATTAGGATCCAGTGGCGTATTTTGGGTGATTTATCGGGGGGTGTCCATCATTTAGTGAACCTCACAAACAACATTTTTAGAATTATTAACTTTACTAATATTTCATTTATATTTAGTTCAGAGTTACGGTGGTAGACGAAACAATGAATGACAAATAAATAATTATTATTATATATTTTAAATATATGTATTTAATGCACTTTTATTGGTAATTTTATGCAAGTATTTTATATTTATTTGTTTACAATCACATGTATTGTTTTCTTATATTTTATTAATTTATATATTATTTTTCACAATCATTTTTCACTCAATTAGAATAGGTACTCTATTTCCAACAATACATCGCAACAATTAACTCGATTTGCCATCCGACAAAATATTCTAATTGTTCATAGTGCAAGGGATCGGTCGAGCCATATTTTCATAATAGACACCAGTTTAAATTCAATATGTTACCTATTTGTTGTATCAGTAATTTAAAATTGATTAATTTCAATTGCCTAACAAATTTAAGTATTTAGTAAATATTAGTAGTTAAATAAAACTATTAACTGAGTAATTAAGTGGTAGCTGGTAGGTTGATATAATAATATTATAAAATAGTATTATAATAACATTAAAATGAAACAATTCTCTTACAGTATTACCTATTTTTTGACGAATGTATAATAATAATTTTATATAATGTTATCTAAACTGCTGTGCTGTCCAAAGTATGCAAGGTAACCATATGTTTCTGTTACCTAAAATGTATTATTTCTTAGGTTTTTGTTACCAATTATACTTAATATGAAATTTTAGAAATTAAATTATCTATGTTATGATGATTTGAATATGATTGTTGAAAGAAGTACCTAGTTGCAGTTTCTTTTTTCAATAGATTTTCATTATCACACAAATAAAATATGGAAAATCACAAGCTAAAATTAATAAATATATTATAAGTGACAACCCATGTCAATGAACCTTGATTCAAGTTATTAGCTATAAATAAAAAATAATTATATTACCTATACATACTAAGTATATAATATACTAAGGTACCTAAATCTAAAAGTTCTTTTAAAAACTTACAATTACAGTTTATTATTGAAATCCTTGTTTAAAAATATTAAAATAAATTATATTAGAGTAATTATTGCGCCAACAGGAAAATGAAATGTTATCTTTTAATTTTTTAAAGAATTCTAGATTTTAATTTTAGATAGGTACATAAAGGTTTTTTTGATAATTTGAACATAAAATATCTAATAGTGTACGGATATTAGAAATACTAATATGTTAGGGACTATATTATTTTGTAATTTATGAAAAAAGCAAAAGAAGAAATGCGGGAGAGTAAGTAACTGCTCTGCTATATACACTGTACACTAGTCCCTACCTTATCATTGAGTACCTAAGTCATTGTAATATGTAATGTGTTATGTTTGAAAATTGATAACTAATTGCATAGTAAATACGATTCTTAGTAAGTTTATCACCGAATAACTATACATTAGTGGATATACATTGAACATGTTGGGGGGGGGGGGCTACAGTTATTTACTTAAATCTAAAAAGTGGCGGCTTTGCCCACACACCCTCTTTAATGTTCAATTATTTGTCTATAAACATTAATATTCAAATTTTAATTTATCCAAAAAAAATTTATTTATTATCTATTGATACTACAAAATTATACAATGCATAAAAGACACTTAACATAATATCAATAATTAGTTAATAATATAACATTAATGAATATTTTATTTCAAAACCAGCATTCTGGAGGATTTTGAGAATTCATTTATAATATCTTAGGTATATGTTTGGAAAAAACAATGTTACTTAAAATTTTTTCACTGAACTGTACAGTTATTTTATAATTTGGGAAATATTTTTAAGGGGGCTTTGTGGCTATCCGAGCGGCTAAGCCCCCCAAGCTCCCCGGATATCCGCCAATGTAACTATGTCCAATATGTACCATAATGGCACAATTTATGCTGCTAATGAGCCCCTTACAAGAATGATGCGGATTCCTAATGTAGAACCGCCTTTCCTTTCTATTTATAATAACTAAATCAAATTTATAAATTTTTCTTATTTCTCAACCTTATATTATTCTTAATATTGTATAGTTTAGTCTTATATGGTTAAAATAATAATTTAACTACCATTTCACCTTTTATTTTATTGTAAATCTGATTTCAGTTTGACTCAGATATGCAATTATTTCTGCTTATATTTTTTGATTTACGCCACATAAAATTGAATAAAATTTGTTATAATAATATTATTTATAACATTCAAATGTATAGGGAACTTGCAGTCTTATAACAGTTAAGATCAATAACTTACTCTTAAATACAAAATAATATGTAGGTAGGTATGTAAATATTTGTTATTATTGCATGTCTTAACTAATTGATACATTTTAGGTATAGTAAGATACCTACTTTACCTTAAAAAAATATTAGGTAGTACTTTTGAGATAATATTTATTAGTACCTACAGCATACTATAATATTTAACAAAAAGGTGCTTTGATCTTGAACTTTATAATATTTATATTATAATATTGATACAACTACTAGGTAGTTTTCTTATAATAGTTACAATAATATTATATTAATAAAATTGAAATAATTTTTTCCACGTGAAACCGTTAGGTATTACATTTGAGACATGACTTCCATTCCGGCAATAATGGATTTACTCCTCTTACCCCCTCCACTAAATTCGCCACTGTACTCGGCTATAGCGACGAGCCACTTGTCACTGTAAGGATTAAAGGTATCATAATATGGTATAACAATAATACGGTATAGGTTGGAGTGGGTTACGCCGTATTTAAATTGCATACACAACGCGCCGTCTTGTAAACAATATTCGTATTTCGTATCGATAATATATGATATTATCATTATTTTAAATTTTTATTCGTATGCATTTCTTTATTATTATTGTTATAGCCCGCATAAGTAACTGTATAAATTGTACTACCGTAACTTTGTTTCTTTTCTCGCTCACTATACATCGTAACCGCCATAATATCATACTAAAGGTTATACAGGGCGTTACAGGATGACCTGACAGATGAAATAACTAATGTTGTGTTCTAACTTATGTTCTGATATCGATATTTTTGAATTTTTTTTTATGTATATAATATTTATAGTCACTTGCGTTACACGTATAATACAATAACAGTTTTGATGGTAAAAACATTTATCTAGGTCTGCAAGTAGGCAGTTTATGTTTTAGAATTTTTTTAAATATTAATATTTTTTTCATTAAATTAATTTGGAACGTGTAATAACTCCTATCAAAACATTATTTTTTTTGGGGAATTTGCTGACATGAGTTTATTTCTAAAAATAATTTACTAACCATATAATTTTAAAAATTTTTGTCATACGTTTAAGTAGCATAATTTTGTTTTTTATCTGGTCTTCCTGTGACATCCTTTATACCAGAGAATACCATATTTCGATATAGAGTGGGCTAAATAGTAAATACTTCATATTGAATATAATAAGATCATACATTGGGTACTAATAGGTGTAATACCTTGATGATTTTTACGGTTCCAGTTCCCTTAAAAACTAAAATGTAGGTTTCGGTTTCTTTTGGGTCCTAAAAAAATAAAAAAAAGTTTCGGTTTTATACTCATGTAAAAAAATTGTCAAGTGAAAGTATCGGTTCTGGTAATGTTCCGGTTTTAAAATTAATTTAAAAAAGGGTTCCGGTGAGGATCTGTGATTAATAATGAACATAGGTATTTCAAGTTAATTATTTTATGTTATTATACCTACCCACTCCTTATTTCCAAGGTGTAGCGACCACTACACCTAGTAATATGGTTGGGCGCCACTGTGTCTAGGTATGTATAATATATTCACTAGCTGGTAATCGCACTATACACACATTAGTATAATATAATATCGACGAATATTCTTTATTAGCAATAAACACTAAAAATAATTGCATAATATTGTTTATATGTTTACAACTATATAATAGTAATATTTTATATTTACAGTATTGATAAAAAAAAAAACCAATGAAAAAATGTGATGTGCGCACTTTTCTGCTTCGAACGGGTCGACGACAAATTTGACTAGACTATTGAAATAACGGTGCCGTTATATTGTATTATTGTTTTGTTTATAGACATTACAAAAAATGTGAGAAAAAAAAAGTTTAAAAACGAGATCAACGACTAATAATTATAATAATAATAATAGAAATAGGTAAGTAATAATAGTAATAACACATAATAATAATAATAATAGAAATAACACAATAATTGATATAATCTTAATTCCGAGACATAATATGGAAAGATTATTATACGTAATTAAGTAAAAGTGAATAGGCATATACCTATTATTAATATACCTAACATAAATATCATTCGTAGTAAATATTGTATAATATATATTATATACCTATAGTCAAGGCTGGGCATTAACGAGTTAAAATTTAAAAAGTCAATTCAAATTAAGTTAAGTAACTCATTACTTTTTTTCAAATTAACTTTTAACTTAATAAATTCCTTTTTTTTAAGATAAACGTGTTAACTTCAAGTTAATTTTATTCAAAAGTATCTGAGT